AACTAGAAGGGAAAGTTTTATTAAGTTTAATTTGTTTGTATATGTTCTCTTTCAATATTGGACAAACCTCATTCTCCTCTTTCTCTGAACTATATTTTTATAAAAAATTATCGAAAATAAATTAGAATAAAAGACTGTGCTTATGTTGCGAAAAATTCACTATGCCAATACTTTTGTCCGACACTGTATACAAAGTAAAGTTGCAAAAGTGATGGCATTTACTCGAAAACCACTGAATTGATTTTGATGAAATTGTCACAGTTTATTAAAACGCATGAGGAGCATGTTTAAGTTATGTTTGCTTGCTATCCGATAAATAGATCCAGAGTTATGGTTTTACCCATATAAGAAAAAAAGCATTAACAAATACAACTTCTACAAATAAGAGAAGAGAGAACAAGTAAAAGTTCCACATATAAGAAAAAACGACAACAAATATAATAATTCTTTTTCCGATTCCTTCGCTATTAGCTCCGGATGATTTATGAAATATGTATTACAATTTGGATATTGAGGTTTATGGTCTGATTATGGCAACTTAATGTAACTTACGGCTCTCTCTTAAAAATTCTGTTAAATGGGTGTTGCTTATAATTGAACAGCCGAAACTTAACGTAACTTAATGCCACGTCGAAATCTGTTTCATTTTGATTGTATAAGTTCTAGTTAAGTTAAGTTGCCATAATCAGGCTTTTAAGGAAGCTTCATGGAAAATATTTTTGAAGAGCGTTGCTACATTTTTTTAAGTTTTAATTCAATTGAATTGGTAAAATAGATAACATATTATTACAATATGGGTATCAAACTAAAGCGGCTTAAGAAAACTTAATTTTCAAAAATTTTTCGAGAGTGTTTCCATCTGGTACAAAAATTTTACGAAATTTAATTGATATCGTAAATAAAATGCTGCAATAAGGGTGTCAAAATAAAGTGGTTTGAGAAAGCCTAGTTTGGGAAATATTTTTAAAGAGAGAGGTTTAAAAATTTGAATTCAATTAAATTGGTAAGATATCGTCGGTGATACTGCAAAACGTTCTATGTCACTTATTACCTCTGGTGCTTAATTGAACTGTTATCTGTATCTGATCGCTTCTGGCAATCGTTCCTCTTCATCAGCCAAAGGTAGACAGTGTTGTCATTCGTTTATTAGGGTGTAACGATTTGCAGATGCATTTCGGTGCAAGTGAGAGACCATCTAAGTGTCAAGGGTACTAAATAATAGACATAGACCATTTTGCAGTATCACCGACGATATATTAAATATTACAGTTTTGGTATCAAACGAAAGGTATTTAAGAAATATTCGGTTTAGCAACATTTTTTATTTGCATTACAGCCAATCTAAAAGGGTAAGATTAAAAATTTAAAATTAAATGAAATATTCCTTATAGTACCCATACGGAGTTTATAAATGCTTTAGTAGAATGAAAATAAAATTTACAAGCACTTCGATCCATAGGATAAGCGCTGATATTAATTTTTATAGTAAGAGTTTGATTAAATAGAGTTGAAATACAAATTTCAAAATGTTTACGTAACGAAAAATATTGAAAAATTCCTTGATGGATGGTAATTGTTGTCACAAAATTCTTTCAATATGGTCGAATCAATTAACCTTTTAACACAAATACGGCACAGTATGCCATCATTGCAAAGTCAAAGTCGCGAAACACATGTTTTTTTATTGTCTTCAAATACTTCAAGAAAAAGTATTTAACGACGCTAATTTTACTCTAAATTTATACTAACAACAATCCCTTGAAAAGAAGTAATATTATTATGGAATTTTTGAAAATGGGCGTAATTCTGCCCACATATCGTTACTAGACACGAATAAGGGCGCGAGCTAAAAAGTTGACGGCGAAAAAAGACGCATAAAAAAACTTTAGCGTCAAAGACTCTTAACATACTTCGCCGAAGTTTTTTATAAGCATCTTTTTTCGCCAAAAATTTTTTACGCGCCTTTTTTCGCAAAAATTTTTTACGCGCCTTTTTTCGCCGTCAAAGCACTACCGCGCCTTTATTCGTGTGTAGTGACGATATATCTATAAAAGTTTAACTCATTATATCTAACTGAACGTTCTATCGAAGATGTTTGAAATAGACATAAAACCACCCCTGTTTACCAAGACTTATGTGAGAAAGGAGAGTTGGCCATTATATAGTTGAAGACGCTCCTTTGTTTGCTCCCGGTCCACTACCAGCCAAACAAAAGCTTTCAACTTTAGACGTCGAGGGTTTCGTTCAGCTCCAATAGGTTCGTTGGAGGGAGAGGTGAGGCATTCGCTGACCAGTTTGGATCGCACCATACGATATGCTAGAGCCCTGATTGTCGGTTATCAAAGGTCGCCCAGTGTTCATGTGGCGAAGCGAAGAGTGGCGCTAAATATAGCGTTTATCACTGGAGTAGGACTGAGCTGGAGCCCCCGCTGAGTTCAAAAAAGGCAGCATATTGCACCTCTTCTGTTTTCTGAACTAATGCATACTTTTCTAGTAAGGCCAAGAAGACAAGCTCCGATTTATCAGGATTAATAGAAATTCCGAAGCTGACAGGCCAACTTCTGACTAAATTTAAAAAGCTTTGCACAAGATCACACAGAAGTAAAAATATGCTAGATGAATTAAAATTAACTATGGCTCTTTGCAATAACGGCACAACTAAAAATTCATATATTTCAGTAGAGCCAATTAAGGATTTTGTGTTTCGTAATGTCTTTTAACATAATTATTCCGGATTATTTGCAATCACTCCGTTGTGAAAATTTTTAAGGGTTCAAGTAATAACTTTTCTAAAGATTTGGTAAGGGTTTGACTGAAAAAATACGAAATAAGTAACAACTCCTAAGTATTTCAACGAAAATAACTCCACTGGTACTGCTGCACAACGGCACAATACGAAAAATGTCGTTATTTCACATAAAAACACATGTGCCACCGTTCAGTGGTAAGGGTTGCCTACTTCAGTTTTGTGACAAATGGCAATACTGCCGTTTGGAAACCGGATTGTTAACAACTAAGCATATGTCGATTTGTCACAGAAAAATATATTTATTTATAAACCTAATCCGCTATATAATCCAAAAACATGAAATTTTGAGTTGTGTCGTTATTGCAGAGGACCATCGATTGTATAGGACATTCAAGTTCAAAAAAAAAAAAATGCGCCTATTATGAGTTCCATTCGACCTTCGACTGTGGTCGAAAGGGCTGATCGAAGGAATTTTCATTGGTATTTGTGACGCTCATTCGATAAAGAATAGCGCTATTTTGAATTTCGCGCGTTTAGGTTGTTCACAATAGTATATTTTTCACCGCTGAGAAGCTTTGTTTACAAATCGAGCAAAGTAAATAGTGTGCTTATACATACGGTGACCATCCGTCCTTTATTTTAAAGGGCAGTCCTTTATTTTAACCCCCTATCCTATATAATTTTTTTCAAAATAAAGGACGCCTTTTTTCCTTTATTTCTTAAACTGTCCTTTAAATCAGCTCTGCATTTTTCAGAGGTTAATTTTTAAACACAGAATATGAAAAATAAAAATGTCCCTTATAAAATATAATGAAAACCTTCGCGAGTTTGTTTCGCTCCTCACTTAAGGGTTTCTATTTAATCGGTAATCTTTGTACAATCTATAAAGCACTAGGAAAGTTGTGCCCAGGATCGTGTTGCACGCTGAGTTTCCAGTTTAACTGAAAAGGAACAATAAACCTCCTGCTGCACAGTGGTTCAATACTGGCATTTAGTGTTCGTAATTCACTGGAGCCTTAATTTTTCACTTAATTTGATAATTTTTTATTTTTTTTTTAATGAAAGCGCACAATATTTGCAAGACACCAGTTTAGCCTGATTTGTGAATTTTTATTTGATTATATTAAATTTTTTAGAACAAAATGCAGAAAAAGTAGCAATTTTGAAGAAAATGTAATCTCCTGTTCCAGTTAATAAACTTTACATAACAAAAACTAGTTGAAAACAATTGTATGGTTCTCCCAAAATGAAAAAAATACACAAAAAAAATTTGTAAATGTTATAAAAAAATGTTCACCAAAATAAATATTTTTTTTTAGTTTTTAGTTAAAATTGGTTGAAAAATTACGGCTCCGATGAATTATGAACCATGAATTCCAATTTTGAACCACTGTGTGCCAAATCATTTGTGTCCCAAATCATTTTGAAAAAAAGTGTCCTTTGTTTTACGTTGGTTAATATGGTCACCGTACTTATACATATTTATGTAAATTTGTGCAAATTAAAATGAAGTAAAAAAGAAAGCGAGTTTATAAAAACTTGAACAAATTAGTACAACGGAGTTCTGGTTCGTCAGAGGATGAGAGCTTAGTAAACTGGCCAGGAGCAGAAAACGTTTAAATGAAGTATTTCGAATATAGAACTAAAAACGCAAAATCATAAATTTTTCAAAATTTCCTAACACTTCGCTACAGCATCGAAAGCAAAATTCTGTTCGACAGAAAATTCGATACTCAACGAAAATTTCGACACGGTCGCATAGCTCGTATTTAATATGAATTTCATATTCGATCTTCAATAACCAGCGAAGATCGAAAATCGACAAATTATTTTAGTTGAAGTGACTATTTTATGAAAGCAGCAACTTTTTTTTTTAAATACATATGTCAAGTGTTACTTATTAAATAATTCATTAAAGCCGCTCTAATCTGAACCACCCTTTAATTTTATATAAAATTGTTTGGTACTTGCAAGCATACGTTGTGTACTCGTGCGTGCTAAAATACTGAAGCCTGCACATATGTACATATGTAAAATTTATTTAAAACCCTCTACAAATCTGACTTTTTAATCGTATTCAAGCCATTTTACTCACACAATGTCAGTGTATTACGTGTCTCTCTCATCTTTAATCTTATCAGCGCCCTTGTTTCTCATTTATGTACTTTTCTTTTTTACATGATTCAAGTTAATTCATCCGTTTTCATATTGCTTCTCTTCTTTGTTTCTCCTCTCGTTTCATAATCCTCAGGACATGTTGGCGGCTGTGGCATCACGGAGGAAGTCTCCCAGTGGATGGAAAGCATACAGAATTCTGCCGTCGAAGAGTTGCCCGAACCAATGTCGAATGATGATGTCACCCACCAAAAACAACAGCACAAATTAACCAAACCGGCTACCGCACGCATGACACAGACACAAGATGTAGCGCAACAAGAGAAAGATAATGGCGCATTCCCAACAAACAAGAAACACAAAAGGCCCACCACTGCGCCAACAATAGCAACAGGAGCCGCATCCGCGCAACAACGTCCACCAAAAAAATACTCAAGTTACACAGCTGGCACTGGCGCGACGACGCCAACGCCGACGACCGCGACGGCAACGAGAGGCGGCTTTGTGGCTGACTCCGCCGGTAGTGCCGTAGGCGATGATGATTTCAAATATCCTTATCAAAAATACTCAAAAGATGCAAATTTTCGCTTCGATGACGACACGGCTTCAACATGGCGGACATTTTCGCCTAAAGCTCCAGCCGATGGCAGCGATAGCGGCAACGGTTTCTCGGGGACATTTTATGATCCGGAAACGGGACGCAAGTACACGCCCCAAAACATGGATCGGTCCGAGTGGCATGCAAAGGTGCACGAACGAGTGCGGCGTGCAACCAGCGCTAATTTGAACGGGCCGGGGGCGCGGCGTGAAGAGAACAAAAATACCTGTTCGCTGTATATACAAACGGATCCGCTGATATGGCGGCACATACGCGAAGGAATTGCTGATGTAAGTGAAACGAGAACACTTTTATTGTAACTCATTTAAAAAGTGGTATAAATATACATACATGGGCACCTATGTGAGCGGCTGACAGTGGCAAGTTAGTGCTAGGGTGGCGCTTAAGTTATAAATTCATTTCTTTTACCGAACTCACGTTCGCCATTGTTTTAAGGCAGCATTGGTTCTGTTTTTTGTTTTGATATTTGATACGCTCTCTTGTCTGTTCCGGTTTGCTTGAATTTGTGTTCATTTTCTTCTCTTTTGTTTCTTCACTAAATCCCCTTTTTTGTTTTTGCTGCTTGGCTTTACTTTGTTTGTTTACTATATTTTTTCACCGCCAATGTTTGCATAATTTTGCCATTTTATATGAGATGGCGGCACCCCGGCAGCAAAGCCCTGCGATTAAAAGCAGCAAAGAGGGAATAAAGAAATACCTACATATATACGTAAAAAGTTATTCAATTGTGATAGCGCAGAAAGCTACAAAGTCCATAGCCGTGGAGTGAATATTGCTGCCAGTGGAACAAAAAGCTATGCGCGTGATGCATCGAATCCGCGCTCTAAATGCTTTAAAAGGAGTAGAAGCGCACGCTTCAGGGGGAATGAAGTGTAGCGTGATTTTTAATTTTTTAAAACTCAGTTGCCGTGGCGGTTTGGGTACGATGGTAGAATTTTATAGTGCTAAGTACCAACTTCCCATCACCACGTGCTAAACTTCTTTCTGGAAACTGGTGATGCAGCAGGATATAGATTTAAGAGTTAGGAAATAGTCCATTCGCTTCTTCCGTTGTTGCTTACTTCAAAATTATTAAATTTACTAGCAGACCCGGCGAACTTCGTCCCGCCCAAAATTTTTATATATTTTACTGAAACTTTTTGGCCCAACATTTTCACTAACAATTCACGTTTACGATTTTCATTGGCACATTTGTCTGCTAAGATTAAGGTTTGGTGGTGATTTGCCGCTTTAAATAACCTAAGGAAAGTGTTATATCCGTTCTTGA